TGCAAACAGCTGTCATTATCGCAAACGATTTCTTCGACTTCGATTTTTTTTTTTTGCGTAACTTGTCAGTGAACTATGGCTATGTGTAGTAAATTCTGCTCCATCTGAAAGCACGAGATGATGATTTCCTGCTGATTACAGAACCGGCTTTTTTAACAAAATGCGCATGACAATCGCATTCGATTAATCGTGCAGCCCTATAATGCTGTTTTTCTTAACTGATCAGACTAAAAGTCAATTTAACCAAGAATGATAAGTATAAAGATTATATTGTCTGCCGCTTTAAATGCTCGAGCTCTTTAATGTCGGTGGATTCTGATCTTGATTCTCACTGTCAATTATTTTATAGTTTTTCAGACATAAAAAAAAAAGTTAATAAAGTGATTCCAATGATTGTTTCTCTGTGTTGTTAACATTATAGATGTGGTGTGGATTTCCCTATTTGTCATACAATTAGAACAATTATTAAAACTTCATAGTTATGGCCATTTTTCTTGGTGTGAACGGGCCTTTGCAGTTAAATAAAAATCCCAAAGGTCCTATAGATTGTCAGTGAAAACTTATAGCTGTAATTTTTAAACTTCATCCACCATTATCGGTAAAGACCTTCAGCCTGTTCTGACTTGGCTTGTTATACTTTATAACTGATCGGATCAAAGGCTTTCTCATAACTGACATTCAAATGGGTTAATATTTCCATAGATAGATGGGCTATTTGTCTGTCTGTCTTTATGTCTGACTGACGATAAGGTCTGCGTAACCTTCAAATTATAAGCTTTAAGGGAGCTATTTAAACTTTAAAGCAAAATGTCAAGCTTAACAAACCTTCCTTTTCTATTCCAGTTCAGCATCCTGTTGGCTGTCGGCAATTTGATTCACATTCCAACACATGAATTAAAATAAACGTTTCCTGAATTTAGAATTTTTCCTGTTATTAGTGAGGCACAGAAATGTCAGCTCTCTAAAGAGCAAAAAATGAGATTCATCCAAAATTGTTTCAGTTAATGGTTTCAGCCCTCCAAAACAGTGACGTTTAATTAGCACTTCTTCAGTGACAGATTAGCTGCATTAAAATTGCCAATGAACCTATTAAATGTGATGAACTGCATTAATGATTCTCTGCTTTTGTCCATCTCTTGTAGCTGACTCACCCAGTCACCTTAAATGTTGGGGGTCACCACTACACAACCTCTATCTCCACTCTTCAATGTTACCCAGACTCCATGCTGGGTGCCATGTTCCGCGGCGACTTCCCCACCACACGGGACGCTCAGGGAAACTACTTCATCGACCGGGACGGGACGCTTTTCCGCTACATATTAAACTTCCTGCGCACATCCGAGCTCACTCTTCCTGTTGACTTCATGGAGATGGACCTTCTGCGTAAAGAAGCTGACTTCTATCAGATCGAGCCTTTAATCCAATGCCTCAATGACCCAAAGCCTCTGTACCCGCTGGACACCTTTGAGCAGGTGGTGGAGTTGTCCAGCACTCGCAAGCTGTCTAAGTACTCCAACCCAGTAGCGGTTATCATCACGCAACTAACCATAACCACCAAGGTCCACTCGCTGCTGGAGGGAATATCCAACAGCTTCACTAAGTGGAACAAACACATGATGGACACCAGAGACTGTCAGGTGTCCTTTACCTTTGGACCATGTGACCACCATCAAGAGGTGTCTCTAAGGGTCCACCTCATGGACTACATCACCAAACAGGGATTCACGATCCGGAACACACGGGTGCACCACATGAGCGAGCGTGCCAACGAGAACACAGTGGAGCACCACTGGACTTTCTGCCGGCTAGCATATAAAGTAGAAGATTGACCAATCTATGAATGTGCTACCAAATGTGGTTGCTGCTCTTTCCAATGCAATGTTTCAATCTGTAGAAATTCCATTGTCGGTTGAGACCAAGCAGAAGAAAAAGGGAATGAAATGTAAAGGATCACATCACGCAATGCAGAATATTTTGCAAAAGCATTAAAATAATATATGATACAAACACATTTGCAATACATATTCAGATAATACTCAAGCATCTTTCAGTAATCTATGAACACCTTGCCCACAATCATTTAAAAAAAGCAAAAACAAAATTGTTTCAGGTATTCATTCATTCCATCAGATCAGAAATCTGTCAAACATTGTGCACTATGTGCAACATCAAGATGTTAGCGTGCATGTATTTCTAACACATTAAGTATTAAGTGTCCACATGCTGTAAATGGTAATAAATTTCATTTGTTCATCGGTTTCATTTTTTTAAAAAGCATCAATATGAGTCAGTTGTCTTATTTTATTCTCCACTGCAAATGATAGAGAGGCACATTTCAAAGGTAAATGTTTTAAATCTTAAAGCGATAGATCACTCAAAAATGAAAATGCTGACATCATGTCACCCTCAGGTTTCTCCAAACCTGTTTGAGTTTCTTTCTTCTGTTGAACACAACAACACACTACAACATTTTGAAGAAAGTTGGTTGCCAAACAGTTGCCATATTATGGAAGTCAATGCTTACTGTCAACTTTTGGTTACCAACATTCTGGTGACCAAATTTTCATTTTTGGGTGATTATAAATATTTGTTGATATATTTTATGTTTTGTATATAAAAGTATATAGATTTATTTCTTTACTTTTTTAGCTTTGTAGCAGTGAGTGAGAACCCCAGTAATGATGAATAGTCCCTGTATGTCCGAGACTTGGTAGAGTCCTGCCAGCGGACCTATTAGAACACACTAACCGTGATGTTCACGCCGCCATGTTTTTGTTCTCCTGTTCTGTCCGCGCAGCGGTAACATGCGTGAAGTAGGGATGGGCGATACCACTTATTTTGTTTTCGATACGATACCGATATTTTTCAAGGCAGTATCGTCGATATCGATACCGATACGATACTTCTGAACTAAACTTTTAAATGATGAAATTTATTAAATTACTAAGAGTAAAATGGGTAATGATAACCACTTAACTTTGTTTAAAACACATTTTAACATTCAATACACCTTAATTGTAATTTATTAGGTTATATTTTTGTTTGCACAGCGTGAAGACGGTGCAAGATCAGTGTTGAAGGACAACTGTTCGGATGTTGTATTCTAGCCAGCAAAACTCATTTTCATAAGTGCATATTATTGTGCTGTGCTTTAAAGGTGCCTTGCCGTTGGCTGTGTTTTGAAAGAAAAAGATGTTTAGAAAAAGTCAGAACCTAAAATATATATTAAGTCTTGTACCTGGAAAAAGACGTTTTGGGACGTACAGGTTTTTGCCCTTGTTCTTCTGTATCGGGGGTGTCATGGAGTGGATCATGATTAACGTGAGAATAGGAAAAGAAACGTTTTGTAAGTATGCTGCAAAGTCTAATCTTATGTATACATGCACGCCAGGGTTGCCAGGTTTTCACAACAAAACCCGCCCATAGTCTATGCTCAAAACTAGCCCAGTCGCGTTTCAAGGGGGGTTCCCCGGTAAAACTCGCGTTCCGGGGGTTCCTCCTGTAAAATTCGCATTCCAGGGGCTGAGTATCACGTTATTGGGGTCGCTTCAACAACCCGCGGCAACGCTGATAAAGTAGCCCAATTCCGCGGACTTGGCAACACTGATGCATGCCCCTCTCTGTGAAGCGTTTATGTGCATCATTCTGCGTCCTCAGCGTCCTCAGCGAGAATAATGATTTACTTCTGAAGTCTTTAAAACCAAAATACTTTTAATGTGTATCATTCATCTTAATTAGGTAGGGTACAACGGTGCTTAATTTACATTATGCTTAGATTATGTGAAGATGAATGTATTATACATGAATATATTTATGTAGTCCTATAGCCTATTAAGAATTAATTTTTAATTATGTATTGGTTATTTTTATGGATAAGTAATTATATAATTTTCTGGCTTCACAGATGATGTCTACAGAAGAAAACAATCGGAGAGGGAGTACCAGCACAAGATTGAGGAGGGCTTTGTGCTCACAGACTCTGAAGCCAAATGAGATCATCAGAACACACTGGAAATAAATGATCGTCATGATAAAGAGACCGAAACAAAAACAGTTTTGAGACTTTTGCACTCTAACACACTTTTGATATCGTTCAAAAATGGGTATATTATTATTCATAAACTATAGGGCAGCTGTGACATGGGCTGCGTGATCATGAGGACAAATGAGGTGCAGAAGGCTGCCAATGTTTGTTTCTGTAAGGAAGATGGCATGTTTTGTATTGTCTAAAAGATAAAGATGGCTGTTTACACGAAAAAAGATCTGTCTGTTCTGCGATTCTAAATAATACACTTTGGAAGCTTGTAAAAAATAAGATTCTGTAAGTCATAATAATGAGAAACTTTCTCACAAAAGTTAGCATCTCATTATATCGAGAAAGTTACTTAGCCTATTTATGAGAACATTTATACATTTCTTGTAATTATTGCTCATTATCATGATAATGACAAATGTTTATCATGAGTTTATATCATTAAAATTAGAAAAAAATCTAATTTTCATATCTAATAATCATGACAGTATATTGTTATAATGACTTACACTAATGAGAAACTTTCATAGTTCCTAAGTCATACTAAGTCATTTTTATGATAGACTTTATCAGTGTATGCTAAGACATAATTATGAGAATATATCCATTAATTAAATTTTTTTTACCCAGCTTTAGTGGAAACAGGAAAAAAAGATGGTCTATTGTAGTGCACACTTTGTGCAATTTAAGTTTACGAAGATAAAGTCCAGCAAATATGTCAGTCCAAAGTGAATTTATTTACCAGCATTGGATATCAGTAACAGTAACCACTGAATCTCTTTTTCCAATTTTAAGTTCACAGACATTACTACAATTTTTACTTTCAAAAACATTAACAAAATTATTACACTTAAAAAAAAAAAAAGTCAAGAAAAAGTTGTTATTGCCTGTATATGCTTCTAACAAATGATGTAAATGATCTTAAATGTCTAAATGCTCAAAGATTCTTTATTAAGCTGTTAAATCTTCATCTTAGCAGTGGTTGCCAGTTGGACAATGGCTTAAGGAACATTTTCTTCTTTCTCAGCGGATCACTGAGATTACAATATAGTGAGGACCATACATGCAGATGAACCACGCGCAGGCTTTCTGGCAGCGGCGGGACGGCCTCCAGCCCATTGTCTCCAAGGTACAGGTATGCCAGCCTGGTGAGTTTCTAATGCAAAAGATAGAAGCCACTCATAAGTAACAACAATGTATTATTTCAGATTCTTTCTTTTATTCATTTTTACCTTGAAAATGTTTGCTTTTACTCCCTTTGTTTTAAGAACATTGTGGTTGACATTGAGAGACACAAGTTTAGCCGGCAGCATTGGCAGTTTGACCAGTTTGTTCTCAGCTAATGTTAGTTCCTCAAGCTGGTCGAGTTTTGAAAAGGCTCCATCTTCTATTTCAGAGATCAGATTGCCAGTCAGGTCAATTCTTCTCAGTGTGGCTGTAAAACAACACAATATGGATGTATTTACAGATTTGGACATTCCCACTGGGCTGCAACTGAATATGATTTTTTATTAACTTCCTGTCATCATTTACTCACTCTCATGTCATTCCAAACCTGTTTCACTTTATTTCTTCTGTGGAACATAGAAAATATGGCTCACATTTTTTCTTTTCTTTTTTTTTGGCCGTGCACTCATACAAATAAATGTTCCAAAAGGGGGGTTTCTCAACAATGCCATAGAAGAACCATTCAGTAAACAGTTCTTAAAAAAAAAATTTTTTCTTGGTGTGAAGAACCTTGTTCCAATATCAAGAACCTTTTGTGTATTCGAAAGATTCCATGGATGTTAAAGTTTCTTCATAGATGCCAGTAAAGAACCTTTATTTTTAAGAGTGTACAGTGAAAGTCAATGGGGTCCAAATGTCTAAAGAAAGAAAGTATTTTTCCAATATCAAGAACCATTTGTGTACTGGAAGGATTCCATGGATGTTAAAGATCCTTCATGGAATCATAGATGCCTGTGAAGAACCGTTAGTTTTAAGAGTTTGCAGTGAAGATCAATGGAGTCCAAATGTCCACAAAAAGAAACTCACAGGGGTTCAGAATGACATGAGGGTGAGTAAATAATATGATTTTTCATTTTTGGGTGAACTATCCTTTTAAATGCACAAAGCCTGCTAGGTTTGTCTCCCCTTCTATACCAGAGACTCTAAGGGACCTAAACGCACTTTCTCAGTTCTGTTTTAGAGCCATTAAAAGTGGCAAGGAAAATTTCACTCAGTTGATTTGATTACATTGATCGAGTTCCAGTCATTACACATTGTGTCTTTGGTGGCCACACCTAAAAAGCTTTTCCCTCACCAATATCGGCAAAGTCTCTGTTGGTAATTTTAGATATTTTGTTGAAGCGTGCATAGAGGTAAGCCGTTTCCTTTGGCAGTGGTGGAACTGTTGTCATGTCAGGAGAAACCTCCTCACAGTACACCGATCCAGTTAGACACACACACATCAGGCATGTGGGGAGTTCTGAAAAATGAAATAGAAATAAAATAGGCTTAAATATGATCTTGAATCAAATGATTGCGAACTTGAAGTAATAAGCAATTACCCTTGTCATCTTTATGGTCTGCTCCCGGACCTTCATCATCTGTGTCAACTGGACTATCATAGTCTGCGCTAAGAATGACTTTTTTCTAGTAAAGCAGATGAAAAGAAAACTATATTATTTTGTTTCCTCTCAAAACCAACAAGTTCGATGAGCTCAGATAAGCCCAGATAACTTGCCAATGGTGCTGTTTTCCATCGGATATAATCCCATTATGGATTTAACAGGTTTTCCATTGCATACCTTTCTTGGAACAGATTTATGATATCTGGCATTCTGATTATACAAATACATATATTCGTTTTAGCCCTCAAAACATGAATGTGTTCAGCAAAATTCCATTTTAATATCACAATGTATACAAATTAGCATTATCAGCATTAAAATGCCATACCTTTGGTTTCTTGGCTTCCACGACAATTCTACTCTCTGAGATTAATTCTTCATCATCTACTATTTTCAATATCCCTTTGTGTTTAGGCACCACTTTACTGGTTCTTGCCGGTTCACAAAATATCCAGGGCATGGTCACAAAAAAGAGTAAAATCCTCAGATCCATCATCATGTGAGGAGAAACGGTTGTTGTGGTGAGTGAAGAAGAGAGAGGAGCAGCGCAGTGTGTCACAGCCTCAGAGTAAAATGAGACCTTTAAAGAGTGTCTCTGCACTGACTGTGAACCATTAAAAAACACTTCATGAAACTGGCCTTAACCCACTCTGTGCTGTCTTAACAGATCACTCGCCTCATTCCCGCCAAAATAAATGCAAGTGCTTTGTCCATATGTTTTGAAATTGTGGAGTAAAGTGGATAAAAACAACACTGAAATTGATATATTTTGCTGTCTTCTTGTGAATAAGCATAATCTGACAATAGTAAGACACGTATTCCATCTTTTTCTGATATAAGGCTATAATGAGACATTTTCAGGGAACACTGTGATTCGGAAAATACTGGGGGGAATGAACAGTGCTGGCCATGGAAATAAAGGACAGAATTTAACAGGAAATTATTATTAGTTCAGGAATCTTGGACAGCATGTTTGAATATGGTGAACTTTTAAAACTTGCAAACTTAAAATCCATCGCTATGTGATGTTGAAAAGCTTTATTGTTAGAAATGCAGCTGGGTTTGTTTGGGAGGTATCAGGGGATGAATTGAGAGAAGAGGGAGAAAAACGTCTGTCCCCCTGTTTTTGATTAAGCCAAAGAGAATCTTTCAGAATTGGGCAAGAGAAATGATATCATCTAACGCATGAGAAAGTGCTGTGAAATATATTTCAGACATGATGCAGCTGACATGCTGTAACATCACCTTCTATCGCTTCTAAGAAGCGATAAAGATCTGATGGCTTTAACAGAGATCTGCAGGTTTTTGGACACCGTTAGAGTACTATTACATCTTATTTTAACCTGGGAACAGAATTAACCAGGTGTTCAAACAAATGCATGCCAAGACTTCTAAAAGGCACTTCCTCGACCTCCCTCTGGGTGCCGTTACTTGACCTGATGGGACACAGGATGAAATTAAAGGAGAAGAGAAAGAAAGAGCCTAGACAGACTAGACAGTTTAACATGCAGATAAAGAAAACGATGGGCAAAATTATTTGCCTGCAGCTCTACCAACTGATGCATAATGGAGAGAGTGTGAACATCTCAACAGATGTGAGAGTGATTTGAGGAGCTTTAGCATTTTGGCTTGTTTCAGGCAAAATGTATTAGTTGAGTAACAACTGTACAGTGTCCGAGAGTGAAGATACCTGAAAAACCCTTTAAAAAAATAAATTATAATGTTCCAGGGTAGCAGGCCTTTTTGAAGTTTTCTTTGCTCCAAAATAAATAAATAAAGCACTAAACTCCATCACATTAAGTATTTCCTAAACATCTGATTTGTCATTATGCACCAGTGTTAGTATTAACCAGTGATATTATTAATATACTATTAATGTATTGAATAATTAAAAACATTTGCAGTGTTCATTTTAATTTCAGTTCATTTTAGTAATTTTATCATTTATAAATATAATGTTAAGTGCTTTTGTCATGTTTTAAAAATATTTCTATATGTAAATAATTAATTAATTAGTTTTTTTTATTAATATTTATATTCATTTTTAGTTTTAGCCATTTTTGTACTTCAAGAAATTTTTATCCGTAATTTTACGTCAGTTGCCAAGAAAACATTTCTCATTTTTTAAATGCAAGTTTTTCATAATATTTCTAATAATAATAGTTTTAGTTAACTGTCCTATTCATGATGTAATTTTGTGCAATGGTATTTGCTTTTGAGCTAATTTGATCCTGAGGTCATTTGTAATATACAGTATTACTGATTTATGTAGCTATGAGAATCTCTGAAAATTCTGATACAAAAGACCAGTTTTTTATTTATATACTTTTTTCCTTTATTATTTTTTTTATTAAATAAACAAATTTTTATATTATTTGTTAAAGTGGTTAAATAATATATATAAATAACATTTATAAATGTTACTCAAAAATGATGTTAAAACAATGATGTCAGAAGTATTTGCATTTGATAACAAATTTTGCCACATCATAACTGTGCCCCTTAAAAGCCTATACTAAAAATATTTCTCCATTTATTTTTTACACTAAGTGTGCTTTTCCATATTAACCTATTTTTCCATTTGGCATACTTGGGAGGAACATTAGTGCATTCATACATGATTCATAAATGAAAGTGAGTGTTTTCATTAGAAAGCATCAGTACAGTTCTGATGAAAAGATTACACATCATCCATGATCAAATATGAATGAAATCATCATGATCTTTGTGCTTGTGAACGTATGTAAGATGCGACATTTATGTTCCACATTCAGTTTCTTCTTTAATGTTTTAAACAAGTGCAAAATTTACACAGAGGGAAGGTTTCGAAATCTCTCATGACAGAGACCTTTCCATTACGTCGACCCTTTTTGATCGATTCGATCGTCTGGTTTTTAGTTTCTCCTTCCTGTGGGCTGATGCATCTGCTGAGGTGGCACTTTTAGGCCGTAGCGGTGAGGACTTGTAGAGAACACAAATGGATCCATCCTCACCGATCCGATAGGACACCTCGTAAGGGTCCACCCACAGTGTCAGCTCTAGTGGAAGTGATGAGAAAAGCTGCTCTTGTGTAAATCCAACAGCAGAGGCTGCTTTTCCTATAAGCGGGTCCATTTTATGGTTGATCCGTAAACATCTGTAGCCAGAGCCTCTGCAGGGAGCTTGAGGAAACCAATGGTGCTGATAGTGCTCTGAGGGGGAAAACGCATACAATAGCTTGAATACTGAATTTTCAAGTATTGTCATACACAGTGTTGGGGAAAGTTACTTTTAAAAGTAATGCATTA